AGCTAGAGGCGCCGACTTAAACTCATGTTTTGTCAAGCCAACCATCGCGCCTCATATCGAGGTTCCGAACCTGCATGAGTCAAGGCTGTTTGGGGTGTTTCAGATTCACCATTTTTGTCTCTGTTAATATACTGAATGTCTAAGGCTTCTGATTGTACAGTTATGGTGAAGGGATTAAATCCCTAACCTATATGCTACTTCATATATGTGTTGTTGGTATGTATGTATATATGACTATGAATGTGGTTATATCCATAAAAGTTTTTCTCATTCAGGTTTTCACAGCTCATTGGACAATGTAAACTATTACTGATTGGCTTCCACCAGCTCCTTTATATTGCATTACTGTCATTACTGTTAATCAGGCCTTCGGTAATCACGGATTATTGGCCGGTTACGATGCTAAACCTACAGGGGTGGGTTTGGGTCGTGACATCAACATATAACAACATCAAACAAAACGACAACATGCACCTGCCGCCATTTGTTTCCACGGCAATTACCGGCGCCAACGCTCTATATATGTCGTATTCTACGCCAAATACTGTTCTTCACGCTATTCAGACCTAACTCTGACGATCCCAACACCGTATTTCCACGAATGAGGTTTTCCACTAACTAGGGTTCTACTCGGCAATCGAACGTCAAATAAGGATTTCACATCAACAACACCAATCTTAACAAACTGTCTCTCTAATCACAGATTCGGAATCGCTTCAACATCGGAATCACGATCCCAATCCAGAAATTACCTCCCATTTTCACTCACACTAGATGGACGTTCCGTTTCAATGTTGGCCTCTTTGGTAAATTCAACAACAAATGATGCCCCATATTTAGCCCTTACTTTTAGACACGTATTCCATAAAACATGGGTTTTAACATCTTTAACATTGGAATGGGATCTATTAGTGTTTCAAAATAAACACAGGACTAAATGGTTTAACATTTACTAATTTAGGATTTATTGGTGCTTTGCCCAATAATTAATCAGAACTCCTTTGAAAACTGAAATTATTAAGATTATAGAGATTTGTGCCTAATTTCATTTGAGGACATTATTTATTATTTAAATTTGTAATTTTTTATGCATCAATGTAAATAACTCTTAGAATTTTACTAATATAAGCATAAATTATACCTTAAAGTCAACCTATATGAAGGCATTTTTTTGTGTAATAAACATAAATATTGCCATATAAAAATATTATAATAGATCATAATCAAAAAATATTTGAAACATAATTACAGATCCAATGTACCACTTTAGACATAACCAAAAATATAAGAAATTAGCAAAAGACCTTTTCGATTAATAACCAAAATAATACACCATCAGTTATAATTAAGTCATAATTTGTATATTATAAAATTTTTCGTTGTTTTTTTATAGAAAAAATATTTTTATAGACGTAGAATTCATGATTTTTAGTAAATTTGATTAACACAAATGAAAATTTAATTTCAGATTAAGAATATACATTTTTTTTATAACTTTGAAAGAAATTAATTTTATGAATCTATTTTACATAAGATGATACACAGTGATAATAATTTTCATCAATCATTAATAAATTTGTTTGTATTTTGACTTTCAATCGTTAAAATTTTATACACATAAAATATTAAGATTCAAAATTAATTTTTTATTTTAAAAATAAATTTATGTATATCACACATGTCACCTATTAATTTATCCTTAAAAACAATAGAAGAAAAGTAAATAAAATATAACTTCTATTTTTTTATTTATAAATTATTATTTAAATTCAAATTCAAATACAATCTTAATAAAAAAAATAAAAATAAAAATGTTGGGTTGGTTTTTCAAAGTGGTCCCCTATAATACATCCAAAAATCCCATCCAAACTAAAGTAGGATAGAGTTTTCCGCCCTAGTTATATTATTTGCTATTATCCCAAACTCCAAACAATCAATCAAAATCCCATCTCTAAAGAGAGACAATTACCAATCGCAAACTGACAAAGAATTTTAATCACATCAACAGTCTTAAGATGGCGAAATCCTTGTGTCTAATCCAATAATCATTCTTCTGTTGAATGGGAATTTGTCCCTTTTGGTTGGCTGTGTCTATGGGGTTCTGGTTTTGGGTTTGTTGGACAATTGGGGTTTTTTTTTTTTTTTTTAATAATTTTTCCCACCACCTAGCGTACTCTCCTTTCAAAAATAAATTTCACTTATATCTTTTTAAGATTTGAAAAAATAGAGTAAATCTTATAATCTTAACAAAATCGTATTAGATATTTTATTATAAATTATATTTCACATAATATTATGATTGTGTTTGGCAAGTTAGTTTGAAGTTAAAATAATTACAAAAAGATTAAAATATGTTAAAAAATTAATAAAAAAAAATGTTACATCTAAACTATAATCATTTTATTTATTTTTTTACAAAAGTCAAAAAGTCTATCATAAACGAGATTTTTTAACCACGACTCCTCGTTTGGAAACAAGTTATTTTAACAATTTTTTAGCTTTTTACGAAAAAAATATGCCAAAAAATATAGAGAGTAATATGATAACTTATAGTGACTTTTTAACTTTTTGACTAAAACATGTAATTGCCAAGCTAGGCTTAAAATAGCCAAAAATTCAATACATCCCAAACAAAGGCCATCTCTTTTTTACCGATAATTAGCTAGTTAGAACATATTTAACCCTTCGTCAAATTTTTCCATTTAATTTGATTTTAAATTTAAATGAAATATTGAATTGATATTAACTACTCTAACTCTTTTATCAAATTTTTATAAATTTTTTTTGGATAAATTATAAATATATCCCTTAAAATTTGTTTAAAATACGAATTGTCTCTTATAGTTTGAAAAATTACAAATAATCACTTGTCAGAATTTTTTATTTAACAGAATTAACTGAATAAAAGAAATACCTAACTGTTTTTCTACACATAATAAATTTACTTAAATTATTAATTAAAATAAATTTATGATATCATTAAAAACTGTTAATTGACTTGATGATTTATTAATAAAATTGGTCATTTGTTATAAAATTAGAAACTTCTAGGGACATGATGTAATTTTCAAAATCACAGGAGACGTATTTTTTAAGCAAATCTTAAGAGATGTATTTATAATTTATCCAAAACTTTTTAAAAATTCTCATCTTATTCCAAAATTTTCTTTTCATTAAATTTGATAGGGAAAAAATCATCTACAATACTTTGGGTTCATTTGGGAAGAACTTTTTAATTTGACTTTTTGACTAAATTAGCTCTGTTTGGGATTACCTTTTTAGGTTTTTTGACTTTTTTGCTTTTTTGTAAGATTAAAAGTGAAATGATTACGTTTTGGATGTGACATTTTGTCTTATTTACTTATTTAGTCTATTTTATCTTTTTGTACTTTTTTAATCCCAACCGACTTCCAAAATTTGGACTTTATTTTCTTAATTTTTCATTAAATTCAAATTTGATAAGTTTAGGGATGATCATTTTCTCTCCCTCCGCCCCCGCATCCCCCGCCCCGCACAGGTTTTCCCCACCCCATTGAGGAAATGGGACATGGATGAGTTTTGCTTCCCCGCCCTATTTTATCCGACCCCCGCTCTGATTATATTTATTAATATATTTATATGTATATAATATATAATTTTTTTATTATAAATTTAATTTTTTTTTCATTATAATAAAACTAAAACGCTAAAATATTATACTCAATAGTAAGTTTTACTCATTTATTTTATGTCTTGTATGTTATAATTCTTATTAAGTATAAACCATTATTCATAATATATTATATTATTTATAAATTTTATTAACATTTTTATTTTTTAACTTATAAAAGTAACTTGTCTTTTGTCCTATTACAGCCAACTCTCGATTTGCCCCGAACCCTATATGAAACTGGATGGGGACGAATTACGACAAACCCCCCTCAAACCCGTCTTGTGACCACACCTAGATCAGTTCTTTAATTTGATTGGAAAAAAATGTCTCTCTTGTGATTTGATGAATATTTGATAAAATAATTTAAGATGATATTTAAGTACTTGTGCATGATTGGAGATATTCTTAAATTGGTAACACTTTGGAAACCAAACATTTTAGTTAAAAAAAAAAAAAATTAAATAGTACAAGTTACAAAACTTTAATTTTTTACATGTCTTTTTGTAAAAATTTAAAAAACTACTAAACAAATTAATTTCCAAACGATCACTAAGCAGACATACCATCATGGTCAAAATATTTTGAAAAGATGATTAAAAGTCATCTTCTAATTTTTAACATATTTTGAATCACATTATCTCTCATATTTTTACACTTTTTTTTTTAAAAACTTTTTAAAAAATTTAAAAATTAATTTTTAATCATCTTTTTAAAATAACCTTATATTGCAGCTAGTTTTTCATTAGGTTAAAATCCAATACAGCTAGTATTAAATCCAATATGGTTAGTTATTTCCGTTTGGATCAAAAATGACAACCTAATGTGGAAATGACACGTTGTATAGGTGATGTGGGTGACAAGTGGTTTTAGTGAACACAATGTAGCCATTTGGTGGTCCGTCCTACTCTTTTGGGATTTCGAACAACGATGACACAAGTCATCATGTAAATATCTCTACCTAATAGAAAAGATTGTATTCATGAATATGTATCCACGAAATGATACGGCAAAGAATGAGAAAGGTAACTCGGAGTTAGGGCCACGTAGCATCCACCCACCGAAAGGTAATGTCAATCCAATGGCCGGGAGGAAATGAGGACAATTATCTCCATTTCTAAGGGGATACATGAGGACTATTTGAACAATTAAGCTGTTAAGGGACACGTGGCAAAGCAGGAAGCGTTCTAGTATATGAATCACGGTTAGAAAGGTCATTTCAAGAGAGGAGCAACCATAAACCATGAGATGAAACTTGACTTATTGAAAGAAAAGATTAATAAGTAGGCAAAAGTTAAATTTTGAGCAACTTTAACTTCATACAAGTGCAGTTTGCCAAAATAACCACTAGTTTCATGAGAAACAAGCTTACCAAGTGATTAATCAACAAACAAAATCTTTACATACCTCTATTTTTATATACATTATTTTCGTGGCTTGAATCCGTAACTCGAACTCATATCACTAAAAAAACGCTAACTACAAGTCAAACGGCACAGAAAGGGAGGTAGAAAAAAAAGAAAAAAACCTGAGTGAAGTAATCTATATGAAAAAGTTTAAAAATACAAAAACTGACCACAGCATCAAACAAAACCTTCTCACTTGAGAGGTGGGTCTTACATTTTTGTGGGTCTCATTCTTATAGAAGAAAATTGTGTCTTGTTCTGTAATTGATTTCTATGCAAGTAGAAGAACTGTATCTATATATCAACGATTAGAATGGATGAAGTTGTGTATCTCCTCCATAAGACGATAGAAATGATCATTGTTTGGCAAGAAGTAAAACCCAATGGTGGCCTGTTTCAAAAACAAGAGTTCCACCTCTTGCCTTGCCTTCTTCAACCCTTCGACATACCGTAATTGCCAGTCTTGAACAAGGTCCAAACCAGCCACAACCACTAAACTCCTAGGAAAATTCAAACCTTTAAGATTTTTATTTTCTCTTGGACCAAACGGGTTCGATGCCGGATGATCCCTATCCTCCCCTTCGGGCAAATAAGCTCTCCAATACCAATCCCTGTCTTGAATTGTCACAAAGTATTTTCCATCCAATCTCTTCTCTGATTCAGTCCTTTGTCGCCCTCCAAACATCGGATGAAGAAGTACATTACCTAATACCTCAACTCCTGACTCTGCCGCTCTGACCGCCACATGGTGAGCAATGTTGCCGCCAGAGCTATCTCCGGCCAAGTAAACATAGGCTTTTGAGTCCTTCCCACTCTTGAGCCAAGGTCTCGAGTGAACCCACTTTAGAGTAGTCCATCCATCGTCATATGCACATGGGTACCTGTTATGCAAAGTCGTAGTTTCAATCACACAATAGTACATAAAAGAACAAACAGGTACATGGAAAACACAAATCATAGAATATTGGTGATTCAGAGGGATGCCTACCGTCTACCACAAGGAAAATATCAAAATTCACTATACACAATAAAAAGATAACAAGAACGACTCTGCATTTTTTATTTTTTATTTGGTAAAAGACTAGCACCTCTCTAGTCCAAATGATTTGGGGATTGAATCATCTAGTTGGGTCTGTGAGACACGGATCTAATTTCGATAATTCAATTGTAAATTTCAATGCGTAGATCATTCATAAAATAAAATAAGTTTTTCTTTTCTTTTTTCAAAAAAATGAATCATAAAAATAATTTTAAAAGTAAACTATATATTTTTAAATACAAAAAAAAAATTTAAAAAAATGATAAGAATTATTGAATTCATACAATTTAAACATAGGAAGATCGTAACATGTTAGTTGAGGTCCTTTAGGGGCCCAACTGGACAATCCAATCAACAAATTTTAGATTGGAGAAGGCCATCCGAAAATAAAAATATATGGCCTTGTTTGGTTTGTGTTTCCCAAAAATTTTTGGGAAAAATTCTCTACAAATAAGTTTTCAAAAGTAATCAAACCAAACAAATTTTTCTAAAAAAATTTCTCAAAACTTGTTTGGTTTACAAGTTTTCCAAACAAATCTCTCTCTCATACACATCAAATCAATCACTTTTTCCAAAACTCTCTCTCAAAATAATTTTTCAAAACATCTTTTGAAAAAAATCAAACCAAACAACTTTTCGTACTTTTTATTTCTAAAACTCATCTCCCAAACTCAAACCAAACATACCCTATATCATCAAATCCTCAGACCCCACAAAGAGGTCTAGTGAATCTCTTGGGTCACCTCCACCTCTGTAAAAGGCTCCTTATAGTACTAGCAGTATATAATACAATAAATACAAAATATCTCACAAATAATACCGGTGTTCAGGCGATCGCCGGTAATTCACGGACACCACGACGGCCTTGCAAAGGCCGACAAGGCGGCGGCAGAAGGTGTCGTAGATGGCGGTGTCGGCGGAGGAGTGAGTGAAGCTTCCACCGTGGAAGAAGATGATTACGGGGACGATTTCATCGGTGCTCAATGGGTTTAAGAGTTCTACGACGCCAAATTGAGATTCATTTTCCGGTGATGGCCTGTAAATTCGGTTGAGAAGGCCGACTGATCGATCGATGATCACGTCGAAAGAGTATACGCCGGCGACTGGGATTGCATTGGCGGCGACTTTCCGGTCGAGAAACTCCGCCAGGTCACGGTTGATTGTGCCGTCGGCACGGCGGAGCATGCTGTAAGCAACCTTGAAATTTGATATGAGAATCCATGTATTCAATGGAACCACACTCTGTAATGAAAACCCAGAAAAACTTAAAACAGAGCATTGAAAATTAACTCAAAATCATTCAAATTTCACAGCAATTCAAGTTTTTAGAACAGAGAATTGAAAACCCATACAATGAAACTGAAAGACAATCAAGTCAAAGAAACAGGGGATAAGTCAAAATCATTATAATCAAAGTAAAAATTTCCAATTTTTTGAAATCAAAAGAGACATTTGATTAAAACCCAATAAATATATGGAAGAACTGGGAAAGAGGGAAGAGATAGAGGAGAAGAGGACCTTGGATTCGTTGGTGATGATTTCATTCCTAGCGGCCATTGATGAGTGTTGGAAACGAGATTTAAAGCTTTGGGAAGGTCAGAAATTAAGTGTGATGTTGAGGAAGATGAAGCTTTGAGTTGAGAGGGACATAAAGATTCCAAGAAGTGAAGGTCTGCGCGATGGTGGTCGTTTTGGAAATTCCTTGTTTTTGAGTTTGGGAACAAGAAGAGACAGCTCTGAAATATAAAAACAGAGGGTTTATTAGACACGCACAGAAAGATCAAAGGTTGTTGAGAGAGAGATAGAGAGAAGTGAATGATGGCGTGAAGGGGAAGAGAACAAACAAGAGAGAGAGTCAAAAGCAAATAAGGAAAGAGGCAGGTGGACGAAAGACGAGAGAGACGACAAACGGTGGGTCCCACCATTAGTAGTAAAACTCCAATTCTGGGTCTGGCTGTTAAAACAAATTGCTATTTTCAAGTCTGAAAAATATATATTAATAAATTAATTGATATTTTCATTAATTTTATTCCATGTATCTTCGATGGCGTCGGTTGGAGAATTGGTTATTTTAATCGATTTTTTAATTTTTTTTGATTATTTTAACTTAGTTAAAAAGTTGTGTCTAAGGAGTTTATTAATTTTTTTAATTGATTTAATAATTATGAAAAAAAAAGTAAAATAATTTTAATTTTAATATGACATTTTATTTTATTTTTATCAACTATTTAACCCAAAAATCCTACCAAATAACGCCATAGATCTATCTATCTATTTATCTATCCAGTATTATAAAAAAAATTATTCACTTATGGTTGTTCTAATAATTGATTATTTTAATTAATTTTTATTTTTATTAAGAGAAAATGTACCTAAAAAATAATAATAAAATAGAAAGCATAGTTGACTATAGTGACTTTGTTACCTGCCAAAACAACTTTTAGTAAAGCAATAACTCATAACTTTAAATTTAGAATTCTAACCATAACTGTTGATATGGTATGAAATAAAAAAATAAAATAAGACATATATATCAAATTATTTATGAGTGAGGCACACTGTCACATAGTGCTCTTAAACATTTTTATTATTTATATAGACTGTTATGTTCAAAATTCAAATTTTTTTATATCTCTCAACTTTTGATTTTTTTAAAAATTATTTGATTTTCAGATTTTAAATTCAATCATTTAGTTTACAATCTTATTTTCTAAAATAAAATGATCATATGCACATACCGTTTTTTAATGTAAAGAATATGTTGTTATCAAATTATTTATGAGTGAAGCACACTGTCACATAGTGCTCTTAAACATTTTTATTATTTATATGGACAGTTATGTTCAAAATTCAAATTTTTTTATATCTCTCAACTTTTGATTTTTTTAAAAATTATTTGATTTTCAGATTTTAAATTCAATCATTTAGTTTACAATCTTATTTTCTAAAATAAAATGATCATATGCACATACCATTTTTTAATGTAAAGAATATGTTGTATATTTAAAATTGAAACAATTTGGATCATAATTAAAATAAATTTTTTTATAGTAATAAATTTTTTTAATTGAAATTGAAAAAATTTGGAAAAATTTTGGATCATAATTAAAATAAATTTGGATCATAATTGAATAAATTTTTTTTATAGTAATAAATTTTTTTTATAGTTATACTAGATTAAATATAATCATTTATTTAAAAATTACGAAACAAAATATAAAATATGTTTTATTTTTTATAAAGACCACCAATTTTATAAATAATATAAAAATTTAAAAATACATATAGGTATTTGAATTTTTTTTTTCCATATGAAAAATATATACTTGGAGAAATTATCCCTCTCTTTTCGTTTTCTTTATTTTATTTCTTTCATTTTTCTTTTTATTTATTTTTTCATTCATTTTTTCATAGTGTTAGTACAGCAAATAACAACACCATATAATTTATTATTATTATTATTATTATTATTATTATTTGTTCTCTTCTCTATGTTTTTTCCTCAAATTTTTTCATCATTTTGTCTCTTTCATCATTGTTAGCTAGCATCACCCAATACAATAGCAACTTACGAAACATGAATTTTTCTTTTGTTTTGTAAACATATTTGTGTATTCAATTTTTTTTAAAGAAAAATAAACAAAATAACATTTCATATTTATAATAAAAAAAATTGACTTGTAAAATTACCAAATGTTACCCCATAAATATATATAAAAAATTATCATTTTATCTTTTCACAATCCTATATTATTCTCAAATTTTAATTATCATTAAAAAAAATAATTCAATATTTCTCACCTTAATAATAAATTTTTTAAAAATAAATATAAAAGTGAAAAATATCTAATCATGTTATAATAAATTAAAATTAGATGATAGGAAATGAAAGGTAAAGAAATTTTGAGAATAATAAGCTATTTAAATTTGTCATTTCTTACATCTAATTAAAATATAATTTTTCTGGAAGAAATAAATTATTTGAAAATAATAAAATACTCAAATAATTTGTTATATATTACATCTAAAATCTATATCTTTATCTCTGTTTCTTTCATTTAAATTATTTTTATTAAATTAAATCTCAAAATTAATTCAAATAAGAAACATGGATATTCTATTTTAATTTCATTAATGGTTGATTTTTTTTTTCCCCAAACTTATGAAAGTTCAAAACTTACAGTGGAAAAAAAAATACAAAGTTAAGGAAATACAAAAAAAAAAAATTTGTGAAAAATAAAATGATAATTTAATATATAGGTGAATTACAATCAAAGGGTATTAAGTGCAAAGGATATTATGGTAATTTGCATAACAAAGTTAACACTGTTTGGCTTAAATTACCGGGAGGAGGAAATCTTGACAAAGTCAGAAAAAGTAAGAAAATTTTATATAATTATTAAAACTATAGGAGAGATCTCTATAATTGTCAGAAACCTGAGTGTAATTTACCCTTCACAATATATTTAATTTTTAGGCCAAAAGATTTCTTAAACAACAATGATAGAGACCCCTTTTTTGAAGGATCCTCACAACTCCCAAAATGATTCACACTACTCATGATGTGGGTCTTACACATCTATGAGTAAGCCTCACACATTATGAGTAGTGTGAATCACTTTGAGAGTTGTAACGGTGCTCCAAAAAGAATGTGTCACTCATTTTCCTTTCTTGAAACAGTAAAAAAAATTGTCCGGCTGTTTGTAGTTGCACCCCATTTTTGTTTTTTAACATGGCAGTACCCCTTTAGGTTTATCAAGAAAGAAAATTAATTTCTTGCCATATATAGCAATGTCAAAAAAAAAAAAAAAAAAAAGAGAAAGGATTTTACCTACGTACGTGAATTCCATATGAACTTCATATATATGAAAAATGTTAGAGGCCTCAAAAATTTTACCAAAAGTTTTATCAAATGTCTCACATGGATGTGACCCATGTGAGACATTTGATAGAATATTTGGGATCTCTAGCATTACTCATATTATATATACAACTAAATGTAGTTGTTTTGGTAAAAGTCTCCAAATATTTATTTCTGAATTCTCATAATTTTAAAACATTCTCTTTCTTACAAGGCAACCTTCTTTGATTGCATTTCATATTTTCTATTTTTCTTCATTTTTTATTTGTTTGATTAATTAAAATTAAAATTAATTTCATTACTTATGAATAAAGATTTGAATTTCAAAATTTCTCCATATAGATAAACATATAAAAACTGAAAATTAATTTTATAATCTACAGATAAAGATAAAAAAATAAACAATTAATTTTAAAAAATTAATTTCATAACTTATATATAATTTAAAATTTCTTCCCATAAATAAACAAATAAAAGTTGATAAATAACTTATAAAAATTAATTTCATGGCCTACAAAAAAATATAAAGGTTAAATAATTGATTTTTTTATTAAAAAAAAAACAAAATTGCTCTCTTTTTTCCCCCTCATTTCGTACTTTAATTAATTTCATTATATATAAACATATAAAATTCATAAATAATTTATGAAAATTTATTTCATGACCTATAGATAAAGATAAAAATTTTAAAAATTATTTTAAAAAAATAATTTCATGACTTATAGATAAATAAACATATAAAAATTGATAAATAATTTATAAAGATTAATTTCGTGGCCTACAAATAAAGATAAAGATTAAATAATTGATTTTCAAAAAATTAAAATAATAAAATTTAGATAAAGATATGATTTGTTAATCTATATATCTATCAAAAACATATATATTTAAACCTTTATTTTGATTTACTCTTTTTTTTTTCTCCTATCACATATTATCTTTTTTTTTATTTTAAATTTTTTATCTTATGAAATGCTCTTATTTATAACTTATTATCTCCGATTAAATTCTTAACGTTCTCTTGATAATTTTTATTATTCGTTATTATTTACCAAATGATAAAGATTATAAAAAAAAAATATCGCTCTGAATGAGAATAGTATTAATAATGAAATAATAAAGGCTACATGGGAGAAGGTAGCACAAAAATCTCACAAAATTAATTTTCTTCACTATATTTATAAAAGGTAATAATTTGAGATTCTCTCCATTAGTTATTAAAAATAATTTGCATTAGATCATTGTTATGTTTTTTTTTTTAATTTTTTTATAAGGCTGTCATTCGTTATAATATTTCTTCAATCCCATCTCTAAATTCTTTTTTTGAAATTTTTGTTTTTTCAATAATTAAGTTTAGAATCAATTTTTTATCAAATTTGTTTTCTTGATCCTTATTTTATTGAAGGATCGAGACAAATAAAATTTTCATATAATATATGAAATCAATGAGCCTCCGTTTGGTAAGTGGGTTGACTTTTTGGCTTTTTCGCTTTTTTGGCTATTTTAGCCTGGGCTAAAAAGCTTGGTTTGGGAAGGGCTTTTTGGCTTTTTTAGCTATTTTAGCCTGGGCTAAAAAACTTGGTTTGGGAAGGGCTTTTTGGCTTTTTTGACTTTTTTTTGTGAGAGAAGAGTGTAATGATTATGAGTTGGATGTGATGTTTTGTTTGTTATGCCTAAAATAGCCTATTTTATCTTTTGTGGCTAAAATAGCCAAAAAAGCTCATAAACTTACTTCCCAAACACAAAGATGATAGGGAAGTACTATATTTGTCAATATCTCTATGTTATTATTAGTTGGTTTGCTAGATTATACTATCAATTTAAAGCCTATATGATTTAATTCAATGTTCATGACTCTATTTGTATTTGACCATTTTTTCGTTGAGTAACCGATATAATTTTTTTTTGGGTATTTAATGATTAAAGCTATCATTTGTTATATTTTTTCAAGTACAATTCAAATAATTTTTTATCATTTTTTTATAAATAAAATGGATTAAAATATTCTTTTATATAATTTTTATAATACTATGACATTCTTATCTTGATTTATTTTTTTTTAAATGATGTAGGAACTATGCAAATATTATTCAAACTATGGAGAATGATTTATACTTTGATATGATGTGAGTATGTCATTGATAGAGGAAATCAAAGATAGAGAGCTGCTAATATAATCAATTAATGATTTGTTTGATAAGTTTTTTTTATAAGCAAGGCAACAAACTTAGATTCTTATCTTGATTGTTCATAATTTTTTTAAAAACTACTTATAAATTATAATTAAAAAATGATATTTATTCATAATTTGATCCCACAATAATAATATACACCACTGATTTAAAAATCCAAGTAAATTTATGATAACATTTCTAGGCTTATAAAATTTCTCTCTTTTAATGTTTTGTTTAGTTTTATACAAGTTATTTATGTTATCAAGTGATTGTGATACTATTATTCTCAACAATTTTTATAATTAATAATTTCTTATGCATATCAAATTTTATTGTAAAATTTTGTGAGTTAATTATTATTAATATCTACCTAAATGACTTAATATTATGACTTGTCGCTATTAAGATATAATTTAAGATTAACATAATTTATTTATCACACAAAATATATATAATCTATTTTTTCGTGCATGGCACGGGTTCCGCTAGAATAAATATAAATGAATGGTCCTCGTTTACTTGTAGCATGATCACGTCACTAGTCACCATATCATTGAATAATTACACATTGGAAAGAGATCAAATAAATTTTCTTGTGTTTGGGAAATATTTTTTTTGATTTTTTTTATTGAAAGACAAATTGGTTATAAAATCAAAAAAAATATTACATCAAATCTCATAATCACTTTTTCTCTCATAAACATCACATCAAATCACAAAAAACTCAACTATCTTTCAAAACACAAAAAAAAAATTTCTCTAATAATATCGTACAACTAAAAAAACCTACCAAAGAACTCACTTCCCAAACATCCACGTAGGCCCCGTTTGGTAGGACTGTAGGAAAATGATTATAACTTATAGCCTAACAGCTTATAGCTTATAGCTGTGAACATAAGCTGATTTTTGACTTATAAATTAAGCTTCTCCTTCCCCACTAGAATAAGTTGATTTTTGACTTATAAAAAGCTATAAGCTGTATTGTTAAGTTGAACCAAACACATCAAAATAGCTTAAATTAAGTTAAAAGCTGAAATAAGCTGGAAATAAGCCCTACCAAACAGGACCATAGTCTCCGTTTAGAAAGAGTAAAATAATTCGATTTTTTGATTTTTTAATTATTTTAGCTTGATTTTTTTAGTCTCATTTAGTTTTTATTTTTGAATTTTTTTTTATATTTTTTTTTCTATTTTAGTGAACTTTTATTAAAAAAATTCGAAAGGTTTTTAGACTTTTGGAGTATCATACTCAACTAGACAAATGAAAAATAAAAATTTGAAAAACATCCACTAAAGAAAAAAAACAAGTTAGAAACAGTTTTCTTTTTTTGTATTTTTAGATTCTTTTACACTAAACGAACTGAAAAAATAATTTTTTTGACACAAATTTAAAAATATATATGTTTAAAGATAAAAAAATAATAAAAAAGAAAAATATGACTTTTTTAACAAATGCCAAACGAATTAGAATTTTTTAAATTTATATTAGCTATATGCTTGTTCAATAGTAGAGCTACTTCCGACTAAAAAAATTATATATTATTAGAATATTTATAAAAAATGACATAGTCATGACAAGCTCGTAAATTATACTAGCGGTAACCCGTGCTATGCACGGGCAAGTAACAAAAAATGATAAATAATGTTGAACATGTTAAAAATTAACAATTAAATACTATGATATTTATTTAGATGGGTATTGAAATAATATATTTAGTGATCTTACTATATTTAATTAAATAAATTTTAGAAGAAAAAAAAGTTGAACTGAAAATTAAGAGTAAGAGTGGATTATGTAAATATAAGATATAGATAAAAACAAATTAAGTTTAAATTTGAAGATAAACTATATATATAAGAAAATTAGACAAATCCTAGAAAAATGAGGTAGAGAGAAATTCAGTAATTGAAAAAAAAAACAAAGTTGAAATTTAAAATTAAAAAATAAGATAAGACAAACTTGAAAAGAAAAATAAAATCTAATATAACTCTAATAACAGAAGAAATGGAGAGGGTAATAATTAAAAAATTAGATAAGAGTGAAAGGCCACTTATAATTTTTTAAAATTTGTAAAAAAAAAACTAAAATAAAATCGAGGTAGTATGTTAAAAATCAGATAAGATTTAAGTGTCACTTATAATTTTTTAAAATTTAAATTTTGTGTAGTTAAAAAATAAGCAATTATGTTATCTTATTATACAAATTTTAACTCTATTTTGTGTCTACTACCTATAATTTAATCAAATTTTGTCTTCTAAAGCTACTTAATTGAAATAAGAAAGAATAAAAAATTATAAGAATATAGAAAGTGAAAATCAGATAAAAATAGAATAAACTTAATTAAAAATCAAAAGGAAGAATCGATCCTGTAAATATAAGATAAAGATTAAAAAAAAAATCAAATGCAAATTTGAAGATAAATTATACGAATATAGAAAGAGAAACTTAGATAAATTGCAAAAGTAAAAGAGAGTAAAAAACACAATATGAGATTTAAAACATGTGCTTCTTTTCACATAAAATGTTAAAAATCTTGCATAATTGGTTAAATCACCCGTTTAATTTCTTTAGCACGTTATTTTTGTTCTCCAATCTTTTTGCCTAATTTCATATTGTCATAGAAGTTAGGTTTTGAGATTTATAAATTTATTTATTTATTTATTTCAAATATCCTTGGGTAAGACATAAATTGATGAAGAAATTTGAATTATAGTCAAACTCATATTTTATTTTAAAATATTTTGAAAATCTTTTTTCTTTAAATATTTTGAAAATCTTTTATATCCATGCCATAAGTAATTAAAAAGTGAAATAAAAAATATAAAAAAAGATAAGAAAAAAAGGAAAATAGAATTAGAGAAGAATGGATGTGCCACGTAGGAAAGAGGTTCATGAGATGTTAGGATTGAGAGTTTTGAATTTTTTAAGAGATCACTACATTTGCTTATATATATAGTATAGATAAGTGTCACGTTACGTTACGTTACGTTTATGTAGGATCTTGTGAAATACATCCCTAATAAGACTTGAGACTCTATAAGAAATTACACAGCACTTAACTTACCATAAGTGTCTGAAAAATAACTTATAAATAAGGGATTGTTTGGGGTGTCCTAAATAAGTGCACTTTTTATCTTTTTGACCTAAAAAATTGACCAAAAAAATATGGATGTTTGGGTTAATTTTTTGACTTTTTTTTGAGAAAAATATGTATTAAAAAATTGTATAAATTAGTGTGTAGGAAAAAATTAGGATTAAAAACTGTGCAGCCATAATTTTTAACTTTTGGTAAATAGTAATAACTTTTTAAATAATTTTTTAACGTTTTAATTTTTTTTCAACTTGTCAAATTTGACCTAAGTCTCCCATTTTAATATTATAGCATAATTGACAATTTTTTAGTCAAAATTGATCTCCAACATTTGGTAGTACGCGAAGCACACAATCGCAGCTCCATCTTCAACTTTCTTTAGTAACCTCTCTCGTCCCCACCACGCTAGCAGCGTTTTCTCTCTTCACTCTCTCGCTCTCTCATCACTCACTTGCAAGCTCTATCTCGCTTCGATCAATGGACTTCTGGGGTAATTTTCCCCCTCTAGTCTTTCGATTTTTCTCTTAATTCTTTTGCAATGTCGTAACTTTCGCTTTTTTGGCCTCTGACTCTGTTAAGCTTTTTGTGTATTAGGGTTTTCAATTTTTGTTTAGTTTCTCATGTCTAAGTAGTTGTTTTTTGCTGTTTTCTTGTTCATTGTAACGTTAGCTATGTATTGATCTCGTTAGATTATGTTAATTGACTGTCGAAAAAAACAGATTATTATTATTACAAAAATAAAATAAAATAAAATTAATACCCACCCCTTTATTTGTTTTTTGGTGAAAATTTTATTAACATTTGAAATGTCAATTTTGTTTAGGATTTTGTTTTTTTAAGGATTTTTGGGGCTACCTGTCATTCTTAATTGATCAATTAAGGTTGCATCTAGCGTGTGATCATTAGTAGTTTGTGAAAAAGTTGAATTTTTGAGCATTTTAATTGTGATTTAGTGATAAAATTTACTTAGATTTTCTCTACCTTCCCTCGTTTTGTGGTGCTTAATAGTGGGTTTGTTGTGGTTGTGAAGTTCCTTTTTTGTAAATTGTAACTAATGCTAGTAACCGTTGCTGAGCTCCTAGTTGAATTATCTTTGAAATATAGAGATGCCGCTATTCAGGATGAATACAAGGCCCTTGCGACTTCTGTACTACTTTGTGACCAAGGAGGAAGTTAGTTTGTCTTCTTTTGGTAGTTCCGGCTGACATCCAACTTGAGATTGCTTCTCGTAGCTCGTTCAAGATAATCAGTCATTTGATTTTGAAGGTTATTGGTAAAAGAGAAGAAGAAATTAGAAAATATGGCAAATGGGACATGAACGTATCTTGTAGTCAATGTATTGGTTTTTCTCATCATAATTTGAATGTACAGAATATTTGTGGTAAAAGTTATGATGCTGCTAATAATATGCGTGCAGAATGGACTAGGTTGCGGCTTTTCTTAATGAATATCATTTTGCATATTATGTTCACTACTTTGCTCGTTGACTCTAATTACCACTGATAGCAACAATCAGAGGTTATTCCTGTTGCCCAATTTGTTTCTTATTTGACTCTCATAGTTAATATAGTTAAATTCTCTTGCAAAATGCAAAATGCAAGATCAAGATCAAGATCAAGTGAAAGTGAAAGTTGTTCAATTTGCAAGGTTTTGTTTCTATTGTCCTTCAATGGAAGACACCTCAACCATTGGATGATGTGGGCCATTCAATTGAATATATATATATTTCCAAGTTGATCATGTAACAACACATATTTAATGACCCATTTTTTATGTTTTGTTCTACCAAAATTGGTAATGAGTTAATATTCGTTGGTATTTTACTAAGCCTTGACTCCTCAAACCTCTGTATATTTGTTTTTGGTAAAGAGCATTTTCAATGGATAGAAAATAGTTATAAAGGTCTCCCGCCATACCTTTCAACATGTAGACATATTACCTATAATATTTTATTGGATTGAATTATTGTTTGCAGATTCTTAAACATTTGTATTTCTAATAGCAAATGTATGAATACATAATTTTCTTGTTGATGGGTTGCCTATCATTACATGGCTAAGGTCAGACTCTAGTTTGCTTTACATTTGTAGAATGGTTTGATAAGCAACATGTGTCAATTGTAGGTTGTGCTCCGTTTTATATTTTCCTATTATTAATATTTTGAGGCTATCACATATATACATATATGATTTCGGGGCTTAAGGTTAATCTGGAAAAGAGTAGTGTGGTTGGTATTAATGTAGAAAGTGATCATCTCCACAGAGTGGTTGTGCTTCTAGGATGCGGTGTTGAGACATTCCCGATTAAATATTTGGGACTTCCTTTGGGAGGTAATTCTAGAATGAGTGATTTTGGGCTTCGGTTGTAGAAAAGATAGGGAAGCGGTTGAAAGGGTAAAGTAGGGCTTTACTTTCGCAAGGGGGTAGGTTCACTTTAGTTAAGACAGTTTTAAGTGGTATTCTAATTTACTTTTTGTCTCTGTTTAAGATTCCAATTAAGGTGGCAAAATCTTTAGAAAAATTGATGCAGGACTTTCTTTAGGAGGGGTAGGATGAGGGCAAAAAATATCACTTGGTGAAGTGGGAGGCAGTTTCCTTTCCTAATGAAAATGGGGGTTTGGCCGTAGGTAACATAGTAGCTAGGAACATAGCTCTACTTGGCAAGTGGTCATGAAGATTACCAAATGAGTTTGATTCATTATGGCATAAGGTTATTAGAAGCAAGTATGGGATTCATGTTAACGGTAGGGATTCGTAGGTGGTCACTAGGGGTAATGGGCGAGTTCCTTGGAAATCAATCTCTCGTATTTATCCAATCTGGTTCCGTTTCATTTATGTGAGGGTGGATAATGGGGAAATTGCTAAATTCTGGAACGATGTTTGGGTGGATTCTTCTTCCTTTGCTTTTCCTTTCCCACATTTCTATAGAGTGTCTCAGTCTCATAATTGTTCTATTACTTCCATGGCATGCTAATCTTTGGCTCCAATTTCTTGGAATTTTAATTTTTCTAGAAATCTTAATGATAGGGAGGTTGGGGAATTGGTGGATCTTTTGTCAAGACTTGAACATGTCCTTTGGTTCTGACTTTAGAGGATAAGTGGGTTTGGGCTATTCATTCGTCGGGCTCCTTTTATTGTAAATCTTTTTTCGACAAACTCATTGATAAGTCTCATATACTTTTGTTCCCTTTTCACAAGAAGATATGGAGGGCTTGTGTTCCTCTTAAGGTAAAGATGTTCACGTGGATTTTGGTTCATAGAGACACTTTAACAAATGATACATTGCAAAGGAGGAGGCCTTCCTGTTCTCTAAGTCCTCAATGGTGCATAATGTGTAGGAGGAATGGTGAATCTTTAGATCATTTATTTTTGCATTGTCCAGTGGCAGTGAGCTTGTGGCAAAAGTTGTTTTGTTTGGGGAATGTTATGTGGGTGGCTCCAAAAGAGAGTGCGCAAATGACTTTAATTGATTTTCAAGTATTGGGCAGGTCGAAGAGGGCCAAGGTGCTTTGGCTTTGTGCTATCTTTGTTATTTTCTGGGTTATTTGATTGGAGAGAAATGGGTGCGTCTTTGAAGAAGTATCTCGGGATGTTGATTTTTTATGGGATAAAGTTCGACATTTAGTATCGTTTTGGGTGTCGGGGAGTCCTTTGTTCAAAGGAATTCCTCTCTTTTTGATTGCAACAGATTGGGTGTCAGTTTGTGATATGTAGTGTTTTTCATCATTTTGGGTTTTGCCTCCTTTTGTTGTTTTTGATATTTTTAACTTGTACTCTTTTTTAGAGGATGCCTTATCCTCCCTTCTTTTGGCTTTGTGCCTTAATAAAATCTTTGTTTGGTGCTGACCAATATATATATATATTTATTTATTTATTGAAATTTTGGCTTCTTGAATTCATATTATAGAGTATTATTGACATGTTAGAACTGTACAGGAGTTGAGGTCAAAAGTGGAGACCCTTGCCCAGTAGAACCTGGGGAAGGCAGGATCTTGCATCTTTCACAGGTTATAGTCCAACAACCAGAACTTTATTTTGATTATTTATTTATTATTTAGGTAATCGATGATTGCTTCATCTGTCTCATTTACATTAAAGCGTGTGCACTGCTCCTCCACAGGCTTGTCTTGGTGAAGTCAAGAAGGACAAACGGACTGAATCTGTTTACCTGTATGCGACTATTGATGGAAAGAAGCTTGTCCTCGGAACACTTTCTCCTGAGAAGTTCCCTCAGCAGCAGTTTGACTTAGTGTTCAACAAAAAATTTGAGCTAGCACACAACTGGAAACATGGCAGCGTCTATTTCTATGGATATAGATGCGATAATCCAATAGATGAATATCCTTTGCTTTTGTTTTTATAATGGAATTCTATTTCCTTCATTTTTCACTGGTTTTTTTTTTTTTGTTTTTTGTTTTTTGTTTTTTTTGCTCTCCCTTGACTGCCTGTCTCTTTATGATCACAACTGAGGATGATTCTGGTGAGTTTGTTAACACACACTGCTCTAATGTTCTTTACTTGCATTTTTTGCCATTGCTCTTATACCTATTCCTTTTTGCCATTGCCTTGTTCCCAGAGGATGAGCTAGAGGATGAACTTCCAGTTATTGCTGCAGACAGTGGTATTTCTACTTCTAAGACTTTATATTCAGCGGCATAAATATTTCCTGGGTCTGATTTCTATTTGTTAAATTGTCTTCCTAGGAAAATCCAAGTCACAGGCTAAGCATGAGAAACCTCCTGCAGCTGAGAGCGCTAATACTGCAAAGCCTGTCGCAGTTGGATCGAAGCAAAAGGTGAAGATAGTGGAGCCAAAGAAAGACGTGAAAACTGTCGAAGAAATTGGCAGCAGTGATGATGACTTTGAAACAGATTCTTCTGAGTATGCCTCTGAATCAGATGAGGTAATTTTTAGTCAAAATTATCATTGTTCTTTTCCTAGTGTTCAGCTAAGTAACTTTAAATTTGATCCAGGTTGTGTATTTGTACATCCCCTCTTGATGGTATACAGAAATATTAAGTTATGGTTTCTATAAATACGGACAAATACATGCACATATGTATGTATACTATTCAGTCAAAGCATTCACATCGCAGGGGATGTTAGTTAATGGAGCAAGTATTAAGAGTAAGTATTGTATGAGTTGTACAATGTTAGAGTTGAAGTGAAGAAAGAAAAAAAAGGAAGAGAGTTGGTGGTTATGTAAATGTATATATGAAATTACATATTAGTCCTCAAGTGATTTGTAAGAAAGGGAAAAAAAAAAAAAACCCTCATCAAGCAAATGAATGAATCAATTCTTTTTATACTTATTAGAAAATAAAGAATGTGATATGCTTCATAAAGAGGTTTCATCATTATGTAATAGCGGTATAGATGATACGGTGTTTTGTCTCATACTGTGTTAGGTGAAATTGATAGAAGTGGAAAATATAGTTCAAGTATTTTTATTGTTCATGTGTGGGTTTAAACACGGCCATGGTTCCATGCTCTGGTATTTGGATGCTGATCCTCGATGGAATTGCAGATCATGTTGACAGTTGTCTGACATGTTTTATACTAGGAAATAGTCCTGCATGTAAGAATCAAGATTTAATATCCACTGACATTTTGGAAGCTATGGACTTGCACTTGCCTAGAGCAATATATATGTGTGTGTACGTATATTTTGCATTTTGACAGTGATTTTAATATTATATTCATGTGTGTGTTTATGTATATAATGTCAGCTTATATCAGTGTTGTGTTCACAACACATTTGAATTTAGACTAATTCTAGTTGTATTTATGGTGGTAAAGTACACATACCTTTCCTGGATACTTCCCTGCTAAGTGCAGCAAACTCTTGGTTGACTTTTGGTTTAGGATGAAGATAGCGATTCTGAGAATGAAGGTAAGACTGAGGATGATGACGAGGACAAGGAGACTCCAAAGAAGGTAAGACTATTTATCCTCCACTCTCCCCCATCCACCCAATAGGTTGAGTGATGGTTGGAAATCCCAAATTCTAAATTCCATGTAATAGTTACTTTACTTTTTCTATTGGTTTCTTACTTCGAAGGTTGAACCAAGCAAGAAGAGACCTGCAGAATCTGCTACTGAAACACCTGGTCCTGATAAGAAGGCAAAATCAATTACTCCTCAAATTACAGGTGAATATTTTCTTGTCTTATTTCTAGCTTTGAATACTGATATTTTCTCCTGGAAAGTGGCAGAAGACCTCCATGGAGGTTTAACTGTCTGGTTCAGTCCATTCTGCTTTTAAAACCTATTTATTGATGTAGATTTTATGTATGTGTAGAGGGAATCTAATAGATGTCAGTGACATAATTACTGATGTAATGCTGAGAATTTTTCTGTTTCAGAGTTTAAGTTGGTTACGTTTTAAAAGGAAAAAAACAGTAGTGTTTCCCCATTGAAGTGTGAAGTTGGGTTTTACAGTTATTGCCATTAATTTTCTCATAGATTCCTGTTGTTTCAAAATAGTGACAATCTCTAATAATTTTGTCAGTAAACAATCTTTTGGAACACTAAAGTTTTTAAACTTCTTGTTGATGCTTTACTACTGATTTTACTTTAAGCTACTACAGTTCATTTATATTTTACTGTTATTCTAGTTTGAATTTAACTGATCAAAAAATACTTATATTGTTTCAATTGTTTTGCTTCACTTTTAATGGTTAATCTAAAAGATGCTATATTGTATACTTACTACTCATGATAGTTAAAAACATTCACTTATCTTGTGTTTGATTCATTGAAATGAGTTGGAATGGAATGTTCATACCATCAGAATATCCATTCTCATGTTTGGTTCAATAAATAAAATATGAAAGTGCATTGCAAATGGAATATCATTCATTATTGTAAGGGAATGGTCATTCCATAAGGAAACTAGGAAATAATCATTGCATTCCACTTTTATTCCAATGAACCAAACACTACCTTAATATCTCACTTATGTCACACAAAGTACGGGCACGAGACAGTTAAAATCTTATAATTTTTAGCATGTGGTTATGTGAATTTGTCAATTTTATAGTTAAAATCTTGTAATTTTTAGTGTGGTTATGTGAATTTGTCAATTTTTTTTTTTTGAACTGGACGTGAATTTGTCATTGAACTTGCTTTATTCTCTCTCACATTCTTTGTGGATAATTTAATGCTTAAAAAAATAATCCTTTTGTTGGTGCAGATACCAAGAAAGGCAATGTACATGTGGCTACGCCTCACCCCTCAAAGAAGTCTGGAAAAACTCCTGCTAATCAGCCAAACCAGCAGACCCCAAAATCAGCTGGATCACATCCTTGCAAGTCTTGTAACAGGTACATACATATCCTTAGAGCTCTTCAATTTTATCAGGTTGCAGAGCTGGTACAATTTCTCATTCCTTTATTTTTATTTTTTTCAAAAATTTATTCCTTGCAGGTCATTTAACTCGGAAAATGCTTTGGAATCTCATACAAAGGCCAAGCATAGTGCTGGAAAGTAAATGGATATAAAAAGAAAGCTAGAAAAATCGCCATGGGGTTTTGGCGACCTTTGTTTGGTATAATAGGATATGAAGAGAGAGCCAGCTGTTTGGTTAGGCTTTTGATGGTTTCATCTTAGGAAATGTAGAGGCAAGTTTAACCTATATGGTGTTTTGTTTTGTGACTGGTTTGGTCATTTGGCAGTTGTTTAAAAGATGTGTGATCTTTGCCCAAGGAAAAAGATGGTTTTACCGGCGCGGATTTGATTAGTTTTTGACAATCTAATATTGTCATTGTGAACTGCTACATTATGATTATATCACTGCTCGCATATTATGATTGTCACTGCTTGCATGGGCGGATCTATACATGAAGTAGCGGGTTATGCATGAAGTAGGGGGTTTCAATTGAACTCACTGAACTTTGCATTTTTTTTTTAGAATTATGTAATATTATATAAAAATTTTCAGAGGTTTTCATAAATTGATATCATTAAAATTGTTTTAAAAAATTGATTTATCAAAAAAAAAAAAAAATTTGTTTAAAAAAATAATTAATTCTATGTTTATCATATTTTTATATCATTTTTTGTTGAGCATATATAATTATTAATGGTCGAATATGAATAGAAGTGAGACTTATATGGATATTATTACAATCACCTTTATGCAATACATTAGATATCATGTAAAATTATTTTTTCAAAATTAGCTGGATTGTAAAAAACTATCTATATCCGTCTACCAATTTAATGAATGGGGATTAAGTGGGCCGTGCGGATTTGCGGAAGGTTGTGATCGGTTTGGTGGTTTGGCATTTACAACTTTTGGATATTTTTTAAAATTATAATTCATTACTTTTACGATCTCCAATAGTTAGTAATTTGAAAAAATATATATTATTTGTCTATAATAAGCCATGATACAATGCAAGTATATTTTTAAGATATTATTTTTTATTTTTATAAAAATATATATTTTATTATTTCTACTGTATGCTGACATGCATTCGCCGAAAATTAGTTGGGTTTGGTCGGATTAGGCATGTGAGACGGGTTGGATATATCTATGATCACCCCTAACACTAATATATTATTTCTTCAATAAAATTAAAGATAATGAGATTGCAAGTCTGCGTAAAGAATTAAGAATTCTGTGATTTAAAATATATTATTTCTTCAAAAAAACCTAAAGATAATGAGCAAGTCTACCTAAAGAATTAAGAATTATGTGACTTAAAAGAAGTCTATTTTTCTTTTTTTTTGAACTCTACTTGCATATAAAACGTGTACCCAAAAAAAAATCACATAAAGAATGTTATAAATAAAAAGTATCTTAATAAGGTTCTATTTTAAAATGAAAGATAATATTAAATTACATGATTTCATACAAAAAAATTATGTACAAAATTTGTTTTTATATCATTATTAAAAATAATAATATCATGATATTTATTGTGTCAATAAGGTTAAACTCAACATATTTTTACATGATATCTAATGTATGACATACAATAATTGTTATAACGATATCCATATAATCATTCTTATCTATAACCAACCATTAATAGTTATTCTTGCTCAACAAAAAATAATATAAAAATATGATAAACATAAAACTATTTATTTTTTTTAAACAATTTTAATGATATCAATTTATGAAAACTTACCAAAAATTTTATATAGTACTACATAATTCTAAAAAAATAATTCAAAATTCAGTGTGTTCAATTGAACACTACTTCATGCTTAGCTCCGCCCATGCATACCACATCAAAATCAAAAACAAAAAACAAAAAAACTACCCATACAAGAAATCCTCAAATGTCAAAACTAAGAGCACTCCAACGGCAAGCACTATTATAGCATTGCCATTGCTAAAATTTAACAATGAATAATAACAAATTGCCAAATTATAGCAACGGTGTTCCAATGATAATTTGTCAAATTATAACAATGGTGCTCCAATGATAATTTGTCAAATTATAACAATGGTGCTCCAAACGCACAGACCGGATGTCCGGTGGACCAATTTCTGCGTTTCTTGGACACAGATAGCAGCTGCCAAAGCTTGTGTAAAATTTGACACAAGTTTCGGCATTTCTCAAATATAGCAGCTGTTATAAAGTGCCATTGGACACTGTATTGATGAAACTGCCAAATTATGACAATAGCAGCTCCAATGGCAAGCCATTGGAGCTGCTCTAATGAGGTAGATTGCCCCCTCATTCCTATTTCCTACACATAATGCATAAACTATCCTTTTGAAAAACAAGAAATAAAAACAAACTTTTCATTGTTGCATTAAGTGTACTACTACAAAAGCATAATATAAAAGCAAAGAACAACACACAAATGAAGCTTTGGTGAAATAGTGTGTCAAACCAGAATCACTCCTACTTCTTAAGGTACCATATTATATTCATATCCGTAGGCTACTAGTAATAATAATCAAAACATACAAACAAAGATGTTTTTGGCCAATGAACTGCAGTGATTCTTCACTTTAAAAGGTCAGAGCTGCATCGGCTACTTCTGTTGTTCCTACCAGCTAAGTCCTGTAAACTTGAACTGCATACAATTATAGCGAGAACCTGTATAAAAATACCTTGGTAAGCTGCAATAAAAAAATGAGGCTCAATCCTTCCATAAGAAGAAAGAATACCTGAACCTGCAAAACTTCTGAAATACACATAAGATCACAAACTTCTGTGCAAATATAACGAGCGTGACATTGGGACTCCAAAAGTAGCCACTTGCACTCTCTCTCATATGGGTCGAGTGCAAGTGGCTATTTTGAAGTGCATTTAGAATTTATCTACAACTCTATAACAATAGAAGAAAGACAATCTATGTAAGAATTATCCACTTCCCTGTCAGATCACCATATCACACTGACCACCCCTATGATTAGGGTAAATTACACTGACCACCCTTATGTTTTAGGGAACAGAAATACAATAAACCCCACAAGTTAAGACATAATTAGACAGTCCTCGTTTTTTAGCAAGGCTAAAGCAATCAGAACTAATGCAGATGGTATGTAGCCATGGGGATAAACATCATTTAACCATCCATACGAGTAACAGATTACTAATGAAAATGGAGTAAGTGTAGCGTGAATTACAACAGTAAAGAAGTCCAATGTAATTATGTCAAACTTTTGGGGATCAATGTATTTTCTCTAAATCTTAAGGAAGTTGGGTGCAATTTACCCAAAAAATTATTGTACTTTCGGTTGAAAGTGGACTGAGGAAGTTGAGAACCTCGAATAGCATTTCTCACCAAGCATGTTTGACACACAATTTTCATATCAAAAAATGAGATCTTTCCATTGGCTCTCAAGAGAATGAAATAGCTGGAAATACATGAAATTCGCAAAACATATTGGGCAATTAGAAAATCATTGTGTACAAATTTCGAGCAAGCAAGGTGTATTTTATTTATAAAAGACGCTTAAAACTTCAAAGTGACCCAAAATGAATTGTTCTTTCCATTATTCACCAAAAGTCATTTTGTCTGGATCAAAATATTAATTAGGAGGCATATAACTGAGGTGTTTTAATACTTTACTTTAACCAAGAGTAAAAACTTTTTCTGAAATAAGTTTGGTGATAACTCTGGGAAAATTTTGATATCACCATACAAAAATTTTGAAAATCTTCCTAAAACCCTCACTGAAGAGAATTTAAAAAATTGTCTAAAAAATGAGGGATAAGGAAACTGGAGAATATAAAGGGTTCTAGTATAGGCACTCAAGTACTAAGGTGGTCCTTCTTTGTCTTTTCTTTAAAATTCATTTTCAGCTTCTTTTAGAGGATGGGAGGAGAAAAAGGAAGAAAAAATGATTTTACATTCAATATCATAAGACAATGAACCTGTACTCCACCTGCACAGTGGAAAATGGACAGTAAGATGTCTTTTTTGAAAGGGCTATTTTCCCAAATATAAAATAACCCAACTGTGTTTTGTTTTAACTTTCAAGGAGAAAGATTGATGAATCAATGAAGGAAGAGCTTGAGGACAAACCAGGCATGGATCAGTAGTCGTAACCTCCATGCTCTTGCTGGTGCTGTTGTTGATGACGGTCATCATAATGTTCTCCATTCTCAGCAACGCCACTGCTACTGTTGTCATTATCATTGTTGCTATTACCATTCTTGTTAGCAGATTCTGCTTGTTCCCTTTCCCTATTCCACTGCTCGATCTTTGCTCTTCTCTCAGCACTGCCTTCCCTAACTGGGCTCCTATTTCTCTGTTCCCGGGGGCTTCTGCTTCGTCCTCCCCTTTGTCCTGGACTTCTGCTTCTAGGCCTCCTGCCCCTATCACGGTGGCGATAATCTCGGTCATCACCACCTCTCCTACCAGAACCACGGCCACCTCCATGCGGACGCTCCTCATAATTGCGATGGCGCTGTGGACTACGGCTGTGCCTTCGCCTACCCCCCCTCCCGAATAATTGCCTCCGCAACTCTCTATAAGAAAGAAAAGGAAAAAGAATAAAAGATGCAACAATCTCCAAATAATAGGCAATGAAAACACAAGCAAAAAACATTGAAAGTGAAATAACCAAGAAGCACACCTACTAATCTTTTTCAGATGCATGAAATTGCAATAGCCACCTCTATTGCATATATCTTCCTCATACTGTCTACAAGTAGCTTCACGAAAATCCGTCACTGGTGAGAAGTCTACAATAATGGGGTTCCCTATAAAGTTCGAGTTCATGATGTCAGCTGGACTGTGATTAATGATAATATTTATTATATTTTACAAGAAAAATTCATACAGTGACTAGTGTAACAATATGAAGTAACTTGAAAATTTATTTCATTTTTACTTTATATTATTTTTACTGTAGAACTTGATACAGTGACAAGTATAACAATACAATTTACAACTTAACTTGAAAATTTACTTCATTTCTTGCAATACCAAATTTTACATGTAATTGAAGGAAACATAAACTTGGGTCTCTTTTCTAGGGAAAGCAGCCTAAGCCACTCTATTGTCTCCCAAGGGACCATTTCATGCAAAACCAAATACTTAGTTGCAATGAATCTTCAACTTGAATAAAATGCCTTTTCATTTTTGAGTTATTACTCTTCATTGCACATAACCAAACCTCTTCTTGCAATTCCTCTATCTGTTCTAACCCAATTTTTTTTCTTGGTAATTATTGTTGTGATCCAAATTTGAGGCTCTAATCAGCTAACTTCAAAGGTTGGTTATACTTCTAGGTTCTCATAACTGCATTCGTTTTTAATTATAACTATACCCTTTTATGTCACCAAGTCATTTGTTTCAACATCTCATCCCATTTTAGTCAACTTAAAAATTTTCCACATGATTTGATGAGTATATGTTAATATATATGATTACACCCTTGAAGAAGCAAAGGCCTTGTTTGGTTTGCTTTTGGGAGAGTAATTTTAGAGAAAAATTTTCAAATTTTTATTTGGTTTAGTGATTTTGGAAAAAAAATTTCAAAATCACTTTCTCTCTCCTACACATTAATCAATCACTTTTTCTCTCTCCTCTCTCCTTCTCAATTATTTTTTCTCTCACACACATCTACTCAACTACAACAAAATATCAAATCATCCCAAACTCCCATACTCCAAAACTATTTCCAAAATATACAACCAAACAAACCAAAAAAATTTCTAAACTCTCTTCTCAAATTTTTTTTTTAAAAATTTATCTCCCAAAACCAAACCAAACACACCCAAAATTGTTCACTGTTTTCATCCCACCAAAATTGTGAAGACAATGTCTCTGGGTACAAGAGCAAACACTTTTATATATCTCTTCCTTGTCAATCTTCCCTTCCCCTCATTCCACTCCATAATTAGGATATTACACCAGCTTCATTTTATCTCAACCTTGCTTATCTCAAACCTTACTATTCCAAAGCAACTTGTGGTAGTCGTAACCCAGTATTCATCCCAATTCTAGTCTTGTCAAGTTCTTTTCAAATTGAAACTTGATAGTTATGCGGTAGAGTAAAGGTACAATCTGTAAACTCTGGTTGTTCTTTGGGGCAAATATTTGACCTTTAAAGAAACTCACTTTCTTTACATCTACAAGCAGCAGTGACTCGACAAAGAAGAGATGAAAACTGAGAAAAGATAATGAGATAAGAGTCTTTGAGAGAGAGAGGCTGTAGTTGTAGACAAAATGATCTAAATGAACTTTAGATAGGGTTTTCAATTGAGCACAATAAAACACACACACACACACACAATATACATGTGATAATATGGCAGCTTGGAGAAGGTTAAGGTGGGCTATGGTTTTTTTGAACCGCATGTACAACCAACCTGCCAGAAAATATATTAAAACCCACCCAACCAGCAATACCAACTCTCCCGAACCACACAGGTCAGAGAAAGTCGGGATGAAACAACAGGCCTAACAGCATTTTGCATAGCCCTAGTTACAATAAACCACCAAAACCTGAAATTCTAATCCCCCAAAAACTCTTTACCCACAGAGAGATTACAGTCCTATATACAAGTAGTTTAGAAAGTTACTTCATACTGGAATATATAAAAGAACAGAAAGACTAAAAAATAATAAGGCAGTGACGAGTGGCTAACATGCAACTACTAAACAAGAAGCTATGGACATGTGGCTTATATGCAACCCATTAATAATGAATGATCCGTGGTTTGCATGCCATCTGATGATGTATCTTATACGTAATTATAAGCCTATAACAATGAGAAGCTGCTTACAAGTAAGGTAACATCGGGTGGAGGTGGTTGCTTGTAAGTAAATTGTTTGGTTTGTGTTTATTTCAATATACATATGTTATAGGTATATATCAGGACTAGAGACCAACTAACCTGCATAAAATCTTCCTGTCAAATTCTGAAGTGCATTTGCAGCATGTTCTTCTTCTCTAAACTGAACGTATACATTACCAACCTGCATAAATCCATAAAGCAAATTAAATGAATCTAAAAAAGGTAGACCCGTGTACAAGGCTCCAGCTAAAGCGCGGTCTGGGAACGTCAATCACGAAATTAACAAAATACTAAGATCAAAATTAAAGACAACAAATACCATGTGGTCAGCCAAATTGTCACAAATGTTCAGGCTCTCTATCTCTCCATACTTGCTCAGCTCCTCAAACAAATCTTCATAAAAATCCTGCATTTCAATGCAACTCTTACAATTTTCAAAAAACAAAAAACCTTGCGGCTATAATACAAAACATTAGCAACTTAAAAACAATAACAGAAAAAGTTATTATACTGATGGCATCATCAACCTTTGTACAGAGAATGAAACCATCAGAACAAGTCTCAGTTCAAACCAAAAAAGACAATCCATCAATTTGCCAGAGCAACATAGAGGTAAAGCTTTTACAAATTGAGCAAATGCAACACACAAACCTCACACCTAAGCTACATCAATACTATGTTTGACATCTCCAGCCTAGAGTAAAAATTTGAGAAAAAGTTGTTTTTGATATGAAGCATTGGAACGAACAAAGATTTAAGCATAAATTTGAATAAAAGCTTCACTAATGGAAGAGTGGTAAATTTAAGAGCCACAAAGTAGCTTTGAAAATTTTGAGTAAACATTAGAGTCTCCCTTGATTTGAGTAAAAAATGAGTAAAAATCATTTTAATATGAGTTTGAGCAAAGGTGCGGGTATGGTTTTGGAGGATTTTTACGCAAATTTAAATTTGATATAGGTAAAAGGTAACAGTCCATTTGGTATAATAGGTGAGAAAAGAAAATAAATAACTATGTTTTCTTAGTATCATGTTTGGATGAGTAAGAAAGCAAAGCATATGAGTTAGATTTCTTTTTCTCCATTTGTATTTTAATCGAGAATCTCGTTATTATGAATTTTTTATAACTAATTAATCAGTTTGTTTCTCAACAAATTTCATCATTTTGGTGAGAAATGAAATAGACAGAATAAGAGAGTTTCTCTTTCTCACCATTTCTCATCCTTTCTAGCCCTAATTTATAAACCAAACATGAGAAATAGTTCTGTTGCTTTCTCTTCATTTCTAATCATCTCTCACTAAATCACCCCATCCAAACAGATTGTAGAGGCTGGAGATGCCTAAAGACGGAGAAACGTACTATAAAAATCTAAACAACTGGTGACAAAGGAAGCAAATTCAAAAAAACAATATATCTATACTATTATATATGTGAGCACATGACTTGGTGTCTAATAGTGTTGTGACTTCTCCTTCTGCCACGTGACAAGTTTTCCTATCCTAAAATAAAAAAATATTATTTAAAGGCGTGAGCGAGATTTGAACCCAAGACCTTGAATTTCATTAAGAACACTCTTACTATTTAGACAATATACATATTATGATATTAATTTCTTTATTATTTGTTTTTATGTTTACTTATCTAAATTGCACACGCATTGCATGTGCCACCCACTAATATATATGTAGAAATTTAATGTATAAAGAGAAATAGAGAATTGTATTATTGATTGATTTATATTGATATTTATTACAATGATTCATGATTCCTATATATAGAAGAGGGTGAGTGTGTAGTAGGTAAGGAGTAGGTGAAGTGGAGGTGGTAGTGGTGTATGTTTTTATGTTTACTTATCTAAATTACACACGCATTGCATGTGCCACCCACTAATATATATATATATCTTCTATATCTATCTATCCGTACTATTAATATGTGAAGGCTACTGGAGGTGTTGACACAAATATGTCTCATATTTTGAGTTTATCCAAAATATCCCTATAATAGTTATTTAAAACAAAAAATGATATAATGAAGCGAATGGTGCTTGAACCCATGATGTTGAGTCTGAAAAACATCTTTACCACTTCAACAACCCACAACATATATATATTTTTATATCAAAATCAAAATCAAAATCAAAATTTATATTTTACAGATTTAATAGCACACCCATCGGGAGGGCACATAACACAACAGAAGGTGAAATAAACAAGAACCTATCAAATTCAATATCACTCACACAGACAACAGTAGGTGAAATAAACAAGAACCTATCAAATTCAATATCACTCACACAGACAAACATATCAAATTCAAACCAGTCTACAGAATATCAAAAAAACCGTAATCAATCCTCAAGAAACAAACTCAAAATTACACAAAACCCACATACAGAAAACCTAATCAGTCATCAAATTACACAAGATTCGCAAAGACATCATATATATCTACATATATATATATATATATAGAGAGAGAGAGAAAGAGAGAGAGGACCTCGAAGTGGTGTTGGATTTTCTGGGGGTCGAGGGGCTGGCCCTGGGGGTCGACGCCGGGAGTGATCATGTCGGGGCGTTGGTACATGTTGGAGAGGAGTAAGGTTGGGCTGATGCTGGGTTTGGTGTGGAGCCTGGAGCAGCGATCTCCATGCCTGCAAGCTCCGATCTTGAAGTAGAAAGGGCAGTTGACTCTGTCCTTCTCTGTTCCGAATATCGAAGCCAAGTGCTCCGCCATTCAAACTCTCTCTCTCTAAATCCAAAGTCAAATTCAATTGCTCAACTCGCACGAACTCTGCACCGCTCTCTCTCTTTCTCTGATCTAGGGTTGTCTCTCTCTCCTTCAGTTCGGACTGTTATAGCCTGTTTGGGTGGGGCTTACTGGGTATTTTTGTACCCCCACCTAAAATAATATTTCCTTATGGGAAATTTATTTATTTTTTAATATTACAATTATTGTACTTTTAAAAAAATTAATTTTTATAAAATTATTTTTGATAGTATATTTTTTTGAGAAATATTAATTATTATAATTGTACTTTTTATATTGTTAATGAATTTAAAAAATAGCAAAATAAAAAATTTATATTATTTTTGTTCTTAATTTTTGAAAATTGACTAATATTTTAGGACAATGAAAAATGGGATAAGAGACTAACGTAGCGTTTGATAGAGTTTTCTAAATATGATTTGAGAATAGAGTTTTATTTTGAGTTTGTGAGTTTTGGAATTACGATTTGAGTGTAGAAATTTTTTTTTTTTAGGAACTCCCTAATAACAGCTGGTGGTTCATTAACCACTAAGATCTCTTCAAATTGAGTAGCACCAAATTTGGCCAGAGCATCAGCACAAAGGTTGCCTTCTTTATACACATGCTGCACAGTACATTCACAACCTCTCATGATGATACGAGCATCCTCCACCAGCCCTTTGAATGGGCATTTGGCATTTGGTTCCTCTTTTAGCAGCTTCATTGCTTGCTCACAATCTGTCTCAATGGTTACATTGTTCATTCCCTTTTGTAAAATCACCGTGAGCCCTTTGTAGATCGCCCATAGTTCAGCCTCCAAGCTAGTGCCACTGTGAAGCTTCCTATAATAGCCACACACCCATGTCCCCTTTCATCGCGAATTAGACCTCCGAATCCACCTTCACCTCCCATTCTTCTACAACCATCTGTGTTTAACTTCAGTCTACCTGCAAGTGGGAGAGACCATGAAATGAGTCTAAAAGCAGGTCTTGGATTAACAATAGACAAAACAAAAGTTTGATGGATATCATTAGAATATTGCATGATGAACCTGCCACTGTCAAGAATGTTAATTACACTATTATTAAAGACTTTGTGGTTCCTATTCTTCCAAATAGCCCAAAGAGTAACAATAAAAATAGTGTAGACAATAAGGTTATCATTAAAATGAATTTTGTTTTTTGAATTACAAATGATCCAGTCCTTCCAAGGCTTGCTACACATATTCAAGTACCAATGCCTTCCAAAAATAGCAAACCACACCACCAAGAAGATTTTCTACAATTTTCATATTCACCTACTCACCCATCCATTTACAATGAACAATTTGAGTAAAGCCATATTAAATGGAGATTTTGATGAATCTTCATCATCTGATGATGATATCATCATGATGCAACTATTCACAGCGTAACAACAAATATTACAGATGTTAAGCCTAAACCAACAAACCAGACGTGTTGGTTCCACAAGTGGTCGTCGATACATTAATCGTGAGAGGGTCAAAGGCAACGAACAAATTTATAGAGATTATTTTGCAGATAATCCTGTCTATCCAGAAGAATACTTCCAAAGACGTTTTCGAATGAGGCAGTCATTGTTTGTTAGTATCTTACACGATATTCAACAAGTGAATGAGTACTTCATCCAAACCCGTGATGCCACTGGTGCTCCTGGATTATCCGGTGTACAGAAGATGACTGTAGCACTTCGGATCCTCTAATACGGCGTGCCTGCTGATGCTGTAGACGAGTACATTAGAATCAGCGAAAGTACTGCAATTGCTGCCTTACATTTTTTTACCAGATCAATTGTTGCTACCTATGAAGTCGTTTACTTAAGATCTCCAAATGAAGCAGATGTCGCCAGATTATTGCAAGAGGGAGAGCAACGCAGGTTTCCTGGAATGTTAGGGAGTTTGGATTGTATGCACTGGCGTTGGGATAAATGTCCAAGTACCCAAGCCGGTGCTTACACTGGACACTATCACAAACCAACAGTTGTACTCGAGGCAGTTGCCTCCAACGACTTGTGGATTTGGCATGCTTTCTTTGGCATGCCTGGCTCTCTGAATGATATTACTGTTCTTGACAGGTCGCCTTTATTTTCTGAATTAACTAGAGGACGTGCACCTGTTGCCAACTACACCATCAATAATCACGCATACACTATGGAGTATTATCTTGCTGATGGTATCTATCCTCGTTGAGCAACCATTGTGAAAACAATATCTCAACCTCAAGGCGCAAAGAGACAACTATTTGCGAGGATGCAGAAGGCATGTCGGAAAGATGTTGAAAGGGCATTTGGAGTGCTCCAAGCACGATTTAATATTGTCAGCGTGCCAGCTAAAGGTTGGAGTGATGAGGATTTGTACTACATCATGAAGACGTGCATTATTTTTGCACAACATGATCATTGAAGACGAGCGTGATATTCCAGAAAATGAACGCAGTGCAGCACAACTTAAGACAGATACCAGTAATTTGGGCTGTCAAGTGTCACGCGATCCGAATGAGGAGTATGCTCAATTTATGTTGAATCGACAAAGGATTAGATCTGTTGAAGCCCATAATGTAATTCGTAATGATCTAATTGAACACTTGTGGTCCCGAGCTGGAGAGTTAGATTAAGTTTGCATTTTATCTTTTTAATGACAGTTAATGTCATTTCATGTCAGTTAATGTCTTTTTATTCTAATAAAATGTTCTTCATTTAATGTCTTTTTATTTTACAATGTCATTTAATGTCTTTTGATAAAATGTCTTACAAAATAAAATAAAATAAAATAACATTGCAAATAAAAATAAAAATAACATTACAAAATAAAATAAAAATAAAAATACGTTGCAAATAAAACAAAAATAAAATAAAAAAAACAACATGAAATTTCATTACAAAATAAAAATTACATTGCAAATAAAGACTAACAATTACATCAAAAAATAAATGATATTGCAAATTTCAAAAATAAATTATCCCGTAATTATTCATCAGGAGGTAGGGGGAAATAAAAATTTGGGCTGCTCACATTTGAGGACCACTTGGCGAAAATCTCATTTTTTCGCATTGTGTAATACGCTTCATCTGAGGGTCCAAATGAGAAATGTCTGTAGTCATTATTTGGTGTTCTTCCTTTTTCATCTCAAACTCATGCTTTTTCATCTCAAGTTCTTTAATCTCCTGCAGTGTTTGAATCCTTTTTTCTTCTCTTTCCTCTTTTTTCTTTTCTTTCTCAGCAAGGTGTTGGTTAAATGTGTCTAATTGTATGCTCATTTTTTGGACTTCAGTTTCAATGACTTGATTTCTCCGGAATAATTCTTTTGCAGATTTCCTACCCATCGGCCTTTTACCCTTTCCAGTGACACTGCCCTCACCAACAATTAGATTGTTACCAACACTTGGACTGTTGTCGTCTTCAAGAGAAATGCAGTTTTCCATAGGGGAATCAGGAGCTGAATTAGGGGTAAACACTGTATGCATCCTTGACTTTACCGTATTCGTGGGAGCTACATCTTGCCACCTGATATTGTCTTGCAATATTGGCCAACAATGTTCAAAAGCGAAAGTTTGTTTTCATCTTGATGATATAACAGTTTTGCTTGAAGCATCTGTTTCAAAAAAATTGAAACATTATTTAATTATGTAATTTTTATACGATACCAAAATAAGAAACTAAACATAATAATTGAAAATAAAAACTTACTATATCAACTTGAGAAATCCCACCTGGGTGAAGATTTTCGACTTGAGCTAAACATCCCTGAAATTTGTTAGAACATTTCATGATTATACCCCATCGAGATTGAATAGACACTTGTGTTCTGGACTGATCATTTTGAAGCAGGCAAAAATTTTCGTAAATTCTCCCCCAAAAGTGAGCATACGATTGCGAATTGCCAACAATTGGGTCTTCCGAAATGTGACACCAAGATTTACAAATTGCCATATCTTCTTCAATGGTGAATGATTTTCCTCTCTTTGTTTTTGATGAACCTTCCATAGTGATTGGATGAAAAAACTAAAAAGAAAATAATTTGAGAGGTTTGTTGTGAAATCAGATTCAAAGAAGAGAAGAGAAAAGAAAAGAAATATTAAATGTAAATATTTGTGTGAAATAAAAGTGGCATGGAATGTTTCAATTTATAGAAATAAAATATATTACCGTTGGGCAAATAGCCGTTTAAAGAGCCGTTGTAAAAAATAATTTCCATTTTTTTTTTTTTTTTTTGTTGAACAAACCAAACAGAGCCGAACGACTCTTTATTTACACTGAGGCATCACTATTTTGCCATACATCTATCTACAATTTCTCACTCTCATCTCCTCCACGGCTCTTCCACTCCCTCTCATTCTCACTCATTCTCCTCCTCCATGGCCGAAATCAAACAGAGCACAAACCAAATAGAACACAAGATCGGAACCCGATCTCCCTTTCTCCTCCAAGATCGGAACCCCCTCCTCCATGATGTCCTCCGAGATCGGAACCCTTCTCCTCCATGATCTCCTCCATGATCAGACCCGATCTCCCCCTTCTCCACCAAGATCGGAACTCTCTCTCTTTGGTTTGACTCTGTCTCCCTCCGATCTGTGTACTCGTCTCTGGTACGATCTTCATCTATATAGATATATGTTTTGATCTGTCTGCATATATATATATATATATATGTTTTGATCTGTGTTGATCTCCATAAAAAAAATCTGTGTTCATGTGTTTTGATCTCCATCAAAAATCTGTGCATGTGTTTTGGGTTTGATTTTGATCACATATATATATATATATACGGTCTGCTATGGCTTCATGGGTTTGATCATATATATATATGATTTGTTTTCATGGGTTTGATCATATATATATATATATACGATCTGTCTTCATGTGTTTTGTCAATTTTGTTCTGAAATTTGCTTGATTGTGAAAATTGGGTTTGATTTTGGTAAATAGCTTCCTTACTGGATTAATTCTGTTGTTTTCTCAACCGAATTTGGTGCCAAATTCCTGTTGATTTTGCTGATCTGGCAAGGTTGGCATCTGCTATTTCACTTGCCAAATTTGAGAACACATATGGCATCTGCCATCTTTGGCAAGTGAAATAGCAGACCGTTGGAGATTCATTTTTGTCGTTCCTGTCATTTTTTAGCTTTGGCAACTGATATAGTAGCTCCATTGGAGATGCTCTAAGATCTCTTCAAGTTGAGTAGCACCAAATTTGGCCAGTGCATCAGCACAAAGGTTGCCTTCTTTATACACATGTTGCACAGTACATTCACAACGTCTCATGATGATACGAGCATCCTCCACCAGCCCTTTGAATGGGCATTTGGCATTTGGTTCCTCTTTTAGCAGCTTCATTGCTTGCTCACAATCTGTCTCAATGGTTACATTGTTCATTCCCTTTTGTAAAATCACCGTGAGCCCTTTGTAGATCGCCCATAGTTCAGCCTCCAAGCTAATGCCACTGTGAAGCTTCCCATAATAGCCACACACCCATGTCCCCCTTTCATCGCGAATTAGACCTCCGAATCCACCTTCACCTCCCATTCTTCTACAACTATCTGTGTTTAACTTCAGTCTACCTGCGAATGGGAGAGACCATGAAATGAGTCTAAAAGCAGGTCTTGGATTAACAATAGACAAAACAAAAGTTTGATGGATATCATTAGAATATTGCATGATGAACCTGCCACTGTCAAGAATGTTAATTACACTATTATTAAAGACTTTGTGGTTCCTATTCTTCCAAATAGCCCAAAGAGTAACAATAAAAATAGTGTAGACAGTAAGGTTATCATTAAAATGAATTTTGTTTTTTGAATTACAAATGATCCAGTCCTTCCAAGGCTTGCTACACATATTCAAGTACCAATGCCTTCCAAAAATAGCAAACCACACTTCATTTGCTTTAAAGCAGTCTCTAAGGAGGTGATTCATATCCTCATCTTTACAGCAATAGGGGCCAACTCCAAAGATAAACCCCTTTTTCAAACGAAGCTGATTTGTGAGGAGTTTCCCATGGAGACAACACCACAAGAACCCTTTCAGTTTCTGTGGAATCCGTAACTTCCAGAGCCAATGCCAATCCTCACCTTGGGGCTGATTACCACTCACCAGATCATAGGCACTAGCATATAAGAAAATCCCATCTGCTGAGCCTTTCCAGTTGGGTTCATCAGGCTCAAGAGAGGTTGGAGAAGGCCTGTTTAGAATGGTAGATGCTAAAGCAGGAGGCAGTATGTCACAGATGACAGTTTCATTCCAACTTCCATGCTCAGAGTTTTGAATTAAGTTTTGAAAAGAGTTTTGAATTGAGTTTTTAATATTAGATGTGATATGTGAAATAAGAAAATTTGTTTGGTTATGAGTTTTGGAAAGAGTTTTCAAAACTTAATTTAAATTGTTATAACTTATAACCAAAAACACTACTCAAAACTCTATCGAAAATTCTGATTAATAAGCAAACTCTTTTTAAAATTCAATTTAAAAAATTAATTATTAACAAAAAATAACATTAATCAATTTTTTTAATTGAAAATATTACAAAGGCAATAATTTTTTTTTCAAAATAAATATTTAATTACTGATTTTAAATAACTTTTGATTGTATATTTGGTTCAAATTTTTTTTAAATATTTTTCAGTTCAAATATTTTTATATTTTTAATTACTGTCACAAATTATTTGCTATTTATTGTATTGTTTTTTTCAAATAAATGGCCAAAAAATTTATCAGGTATTATCTATGTGCAGGAGGCAGTACGTCACAGATGACAATTTCATTCCAACTTCCATGCTCAGAGTTTTGAATTGAGTTTTTAATATTTGATGTGACATGTGAAATAAGAAAATTTGTTTGGTTATGAGTTTTGAAAAGAGTTTTCAAAATTTAATTTAAATTGTTATAACTTATAACCAAAAACACTACTCAAAACTCTATCGAAAATTCTGATTAATAAGCAAACTCTTTTTACAATTCAATTAAAAAAATTAATTATTAATAGAAAATAACATTAATCAATTTTTTTAATTGAAAATATTACAAAGGCAATAATTTTTTTTTCAAAATAAATATTTAATTACTGATTTAAAATAACTTTTGATTGTATATTTGGTTCAAATTTTTTTAAAATATTTTTTAGTTAAAATATTTTTATATTTTTAATAATTACTGTCACAAATTATTTGCTATTTATTGTATTGTTTTTTTCAAAT